CTGAAGAGCCCAGGATGGCTAGTGTTATTTTGCTGACCAGTACTGCTCCGGCCCCCTCTAAGTCCTTCCTCTTCTGGCTGCAGCCTGCTGAGAAAAACACTTGAAAGTCTTCCACTCTCCACGCCCACGCACTTAAAATACCAAGCCCATAGGTCATTTTAATAAGGGAATTTGGCTAATAACACATGTGCGCTCGAGGCTGCAGCTCCCACGTCTGCAGGTGCTGGCCAAGCAGGGCCTTGTCTGAGCAACCATGGGCCTGGGTGGGTGGAGAGCGGAGCGCATGGTTCCTGCAATTGGTGCATCCTCAGATGTGCCTCTAGCTACCTGGAGGCCATCGGCCGTGATGGCGCCAAGCTCAGCTGGAAAAATCCAAAGGAATGGAGGTCAGGTTTTCACACTCACCTGTGAGGAAAAAGTCGTCACAGTCTATAGATAGGAAACAGATGTCTCAGTTAGTGAGCTGCCTGCTTCACAAGTGTGATGCCCTGAGTCTCATCCCCAGAAGGATGCGGAGACAAACACGTTCCTAGGGTCACTGGTCAGTCAGCCTAGGTGAATACACAGTTGCAGGCCAGTGAGAGACCCCATCTAAATAACAAGATGGGAAGGACCTGAGGAATGACACCCGTGATTGACCTATGACCTTATGTATACATGCACACACATCGACTGTAACCAGAGAGCCCGTTGTGAGGATAGCCACTAGTTTATCTCCTCCCAGGTAAACCCCATTACTGGTGTGAACTCTCCCTGCTGCAATCATCACTAAGTGGAAACTCCTCGTCTGCACATAAAATGATGAACATGATGTAGTAAGAACCATGGCGATGAGCAGGGTCTTCGCGGCCTGGCGATGAACAGGGACCTTGCCAGCCTCTGCTGCACCTGAATTCCTTTGCTAAGTTAGTCTCTGGTTAACCAGAAATTTCTCACACGCTTTCACTTTCTAAAAGTCCCAGTCCACTCCAGGAGACTGCCACTGAGCCCTGGCCTGGGTTCACTGGCAGCTTCCTAAGAAGAGTTTGCATGTTAAAGTCACAGGGGCAATTTTCACTTTGGGGGATGGCGGGTGGTGGGGGGTGAAAGAAGGCTCCTGAGTTTGGATTTGGCACCGGTGGACCCCTTTGATGCCAGTGACAAGAACTCAGCGGGTGGTGACTAAAGCTTAGGATTCGTTTCTCTGTGTTTAACATAGTTGATTGATTTTTATTATATGTGTGTGTGTGTGGTGTTGTTGTTTTGCATATCTATGGAGGTCAGAGGATAACCTGAGTCGGCTCTCTCCTCCCATTATATGAACCCCCGAGATGAAAGCCAGGCTGTCCGGGTTGGCAGCAAATACCTTTACCCACTGAGCCATCCTGCCAACCCAAGCTGAGTGATTCTGAGAACGTAACTTCACCTTTCTCTGCTTTAGCTTTGCTCCCTGTTGAGGAATAGTGAAACCCGCCTTGCTCAGTTCACGAGCCGGTTGTGACAACCAAATGAAGTCAAGTATGGGAACATTGTGAGGTCTACAACACCTACAGGTGTGGGTATTGTGAATGCAAATCTCCTTGTTGCTCTTTAGGAAATGGTTGAGAGAGCGGTTTAAGGGGGCGGTGAGGGTAGGGTTATTTCACAGTTTAGAAACCCTTGCCATGACAAGCCTGGGGTGCAGAGTGCACCCTGAAAGTCAGCACCCACCCAGACTCTCAGAATTCACTCTGATGTAGAGTAAATCCACGGGTGCAGTGAGGAGAAGGGCTTGTGGTATTGAGTCCATGCGTGGTAACCTTCTAAGGATGGGGAGAGTCAAGGGCTATCCTATAGGAGGGTACCCTACAGAGATGGAGTCAGAGTTTAGGACACTGAGTGGACTCGTTCCTGCAGAAGGGTGATGCTGCTGACAATCGCAGGGGGTCAGGAGGAGAAGGGAGGCGCCTAAGGGTGCAGTCCTACAGGCACCTTCATCTTGGCCTTGTGGCTCCAGAACAGCGAGAAACTGGATGTGTGGGCATGAAGCCATTGTACTGTATTGCATCAGCCCCAAGTTTGCTGGAATTCAATGATCCTTGAGGTTTCTGCAGTAGAGAAGCTCTAAGTATCAGAGGGCATAGGCCACCAGGAGTCTGTTCATGGTGACACCGTGCTGGATAGACACAGGTCTGTAACACTTCTTCAGGGAGCTACCACACACACTAGGCAACCGTGGATGAACCCATTGCTCAAAAGACACTATCAGAGTATGTTAGATGCTACAGGCATCCTACAGCCTTGAGCTGAGAGGAAAACTGTCTGAGAGCTAGCTACCAGCTCCAGTACCGGCATCCCACTGCCTCAGGCTCAGAAGACAGTGTCAGAGAGCTATGTGCCATACCACGAGTATCCTTGAACTGAGACTAAGGGAGGCAAAAACGTGGAAAAATCCAGATCCTCTACTCTCCAGCTCGAGGCACCATATTTCATCGTCCCTTCACTCCCCACAACACACACACCCAAGGCCAGCTCAGGACTAAGCCACCTCACCGTCAATCACTGGTATCCTTCCCCGCCTCACTTCAGGACCTTCTGCTGCCCTAAGCCTCCACCTGTTCTCCTTTGACATCTCTGAAGGATGCTCGTCTTTGGAGAACGTAGTCCCTGCCCTCAGGCAGATTAAGCTTGGACAATCACAAATGCTGCCAAAGCCGACATCTTAATTAATCTAGGTAAGGAGTGATTGATGGGGCTATCTGAAATAGTCACAAGCAAACCCATCTTCAGGGAAGGTCACCTGAGAAGCAGGTCAGCGGCAAGTGGCTGGCCTTTGAAGATGGGGAGACCCAAGCAAGGGAGTCTTAGTGGCTGGGGAAGTAGTAGTGGCTGGGGAAACCGCAGGGTCCCAAGGCCCTAGCTCCAGAGCTGAACTCATGGGAAGCAGGAGGGAGTTGTCTCTATGTCCCTGATACAAAGGGTAGCCCATTGTGGGTTCTGGCTGAGAAAGGACGACCCAGTATGAGCTCTGCCGGAGGCCTACCTTATAGCAGCAGGACCATGTGACTGTTTATACAGGCAAAGACAATGAGAGTGATGGGTGGCTCCCTCAGGCCTCCACATCAGCACCCCGTTCTGGGCGTGTCCAGCTTCAGCTTCTGTTGACCATCCCTCTGTGTCGGCTAGATGCTATCGTAGAAAACCACGTGGAATATGCCCTGGTGGTATCTGCCGATATCTGATAACAACAAGCCCTGGAGCGTGGCAGCATCCTTTGTGGGCAGGAGGCTGACTGAGGAGATGGGGGAGTCAGGTACACATCCTCATGAGCCACAGAATCCCTAGAAACCACTCCTGTCTGGTCCCTTGGGCCACTCATGGTGCAGAATCGACTCCATCATTGGCCTTGTCTGCCATAGGCTTTAGTAGAGAGATTGCGGAGAGACACTCCAGGATTATTTGGGAACAGTTTTTATGATTAGGAGTGCAGCTTGCTGTGGTCATAGATTGTAGTCTCAAGAACATGTAATATACATATGTATGCACATATGATACAGTGTATGTGTATGGAGCATCAATGGCCTTAGGCTGTATTCATGGGTAATTTCTTAGTGGCCTTCACCCATATTAAAACACATATTCCAGCTGGAACACTGTGTTTCTTCTAAGGAGGGTGGGCAGCTCAGCTGGGTTTTGCCTGTTGGAGCCAACGGGCACGGTTTGTTCCCCTTTCGTCTGAGTTTCCTTGCACACTGTGTGGGGAAGACAAGAATTTGTGTTAACCGAAGAACTGATGTGTAGGTAGACGACTTCATATTGCATTCAGCCAGAAACTCGGATTCTGTACAGAGAGGTGGAGAGGGACACAAAAACATTGGAGCCTTTGCACGCTGAGGACAGACACTGTCACAGTGCTTTGCCTCATTTATTCTTCCCTCAGCCCCAAACTGTTTTGGAAAAATTGCCTGTACCCATTTTTCAGACAAGAACATTGAGCCACAGAGTCAAGCGTCATTGTCAGAGTAAAGCAGTGGGAATTCAAACCCAGAACCCATTCTCTAAAGTGATGAAGAAGTAATGTATTTGTCTTACCTTTGAGCTGGCTTCTCCTGGAGACTTGCGAGATGCTCAGAGAGAGACAGATACACTTTTGTGTGAACTGCGCATTTGAACCTCAGTTTGCTGGCTGCACAGCCTTGCTCTGCCCTACCCCATTAATGTTTGTATAACATCTAGTCACCTGGTATTTATAAATAGTATTTAATATCAGCCATCAACATCTAATATGCACCGAGAATAATTTCTAATTTAGCATGTTTTCACACTTAGAAATTCAATCTTTGCTGATTTGGTTAGTTTGTTCATTTGCTTTGAGACAGGGTCTCCTGTAGCCCAGGCTAACTCGCTTCATAGCTGAGGAAGACTTTGAACATATGATCCTCCTGCCTCTGTTTTCTGAGTGCTGGGATTGCAGATGGGCAATATCATGCCCAGTTTATGCAATGCTGCCCCAGAGCCCTGAGATTCATGCTTGCCAGACAACCGCTCCACCCTCTGAGCTACACTCTGTCTGCCTTTTCCAATCAACAGAAGTACAGAGATAAAAGGGACATGTGGGGATTCCTGCTGCTTCTTTTTCTGTGTGTGTGTTTTTGTGGGGGAGGGAGCCGGATTCTATAACTGTCCAGGGAACACAGTGGGGATGGGAGGGCAGAGGGTGGGAGTGGATTGTTATGTGTCCCAACTGGCCATTCCCAAAGTCCCGATGTGGGAGTCAGTTCTGATATCTCCTAATCCTGTTGTTAACAAATGATTGAATTAAAGCCACATGACTATGCAATGGATCATACCTGTGAACCCACTGGGTGCCTTCCAGATTGGAAACAAAGTCAGAGCCATAGGACCACCAGGAGAACACCCCCCCCCCCATGCCGCCTCAGTTCTCTCACCTTTCCTGTTTGGGGCACCAAGCCTGGATTAACACAGCAGGTAGACGCTCAGACCACCTCTCACCCTATCCTGTCCTGTTTGTGTCTTCACAGGCAAGAGCTTCACCCTGACCATCACCGTCTTCACAAACCCACCGCAAGTCGCCACCTACCACAGAGCCATCAAAATCACGGTGGACGGCCCGCGAGAACCCCGAAGTAAGTGGGCCCCCTTGGGGCTGGTAACTCTCTGGGCTGGTGTATTTAAAGATCCACTGGATCTGACAAACCTATCTGTGTTTTGACACTTCTCCTAGAGGAATGCCAGGCCCCTGCAGACAGGAGGAGGTTCCTTGTCAACCCTCTCGCTTGTCAAGGGTCATTTCTGTGTCCTATACTTTCTAAAGCTTTGTCTTAGAAATCAAAGGGAAGTGAGACCAATTCAAATGAGTTAAGAACATTTTGGAGCTCCATAGGGCTAAGGAACAGACCCTCAAATATATATAATACATACAGCAGAGTTCAGTGTGATTAGAAACAGTGAAGAGAGGATGAGCAACAGAGACCTGGTCGGAGTGAACCAGAAGAGGCAGCTTACCACCCATGCTGGTGTTAATTTGTTAAGGCCAGAGGTGGAAACTGAAAATATCCGTTTCTTCTTCCCTAGTGTAAAATTGTTTAACATAGAGACTAGACCGGGAGGTGAGTATTGGGGGGAAATGGCAAATATAGAAAGATGGTCTCAAAAAAGAGTTGCCGTGAAGAAAGTGTTTAAAGAGGGAGTGGGGTTGTTTAGTCTGAAGGAAAGATGTCTTCACCGTGACTTAATGACTATCTTTTAGTTAACACAGAAGTGACAGTCTTTCAGGACCACACCCTGGCCCAAGAGCTGAGGCTGAACTAGAGCTCCAAATCTGTAGGCAGATGAGCCCTGAATGGACACCCTCCAAACCATGTCAGGTGTCCCTGGGAAAGGATACCCTCAGATTCCGGAATGTTGAAAAGTGGGGTCCCTCCTGTCCCGAGAAGCTATGGTGAAAGATGTCAGGAGGCCAGAATGAAACCGTTAAAAATGTGGGCCCTAGAACAATGAATTCTTCAGCCTTCAGGGTTTCAGAACCTCTCCAAACTCCGGTTCATCTTCGACAAAATGTGTATAACAATGACAGCATCTCTACAAGACTTAGCTAGATGACGGCATTGCCTGGTGCAGGGTATGAGCTTTGGAACTGTTGGGGGTCCGCAGTGGAGCCGCTTTGCCTCACCCCCTCCAGGTGACCTTTCATTGATCCTCTGAGGTCAGTTCTGGGGTGTGATCCTCAACAGGAAACCTGGTGAGCAGGGCAGATCCTCTGCACTCTGGGGTAGTAGTGGTACCCCACTACCTGGTGGGTAGTGGCTACCCAGTGGTCACTGCGGCTGTGGTATCCTTCCCCGCAGTCGTGGGAATGGCGTCTAGTGTCTGGACTACCTGTTGAAAACTGGTCATCTCCCTGCTTCCATTTCTCCAGTTCCCCCCAATCAGGGACATGCAGAGACCACCCACATGCACCAGGAATACCCCAGGACACGGTTTTCACAACGACCGCACCCTTTCCTCCATTTGCTGTGTTTGGTCACCCCCTCCTCTCTGCTCTTCTTGTTCCCGATTTACCTCCTGCCAGTTTTCCAGCCATGATCAGACTCAGAGAACTCAGGGACTTAATATAACACCCTGATTCTTCTTCACGTGTGGACAACAGACCTAGGTGACACACTGCTGTTGCACACTCAGGAATCCCCGCCGTGCTCCTTGGGTTTTCAGGGTAGAAATGGCTACTGAAGAGAAGGCCTACGTTAAGCATGACTGAAACACCTGAGGGCCATGCTCAGTGCTTCCTGAGGCTGCTTCCTCAGCCCTCTCCAGAGGGCTGGAGAGGAAGCAGGCGAGAGTGACGGACAGCTCAGTGTGGGGCCAAGGGCAGGGGCCAGGTTTAGCAAGGCTGATGCTGAGGGTGACCGAGCTCTAGGACGGCTCCTTTGGGTGTCTGTGGCTCTCTAAAGCTAAAGCAGCCACCGCCTCTAGGAGAGTTTAGACTCTGGCCCTGCATAAGGAAACAGCTTAAAACAGGGGCCCATGATAAGCCTTCTATGTCTCTTATTCGTCCACATGTAAGAGATACAGGCTTTCGCAATACACATTTTTTTTCTGGAACATTCAGAACCTAAAAAACAAAAGCAGGGAGAAGAGCAATGGCCCCCATATCGGTACTGCTGCCCTCCACGAGGACCAAGTGTTCAGATAAAGTGTTTGCCACCGCTGCTATTCTTTAACCTAGGAGAGCAGTCCCTGGGGGAAGGGCCTAGAAAATACCTCCTGTACTCAGCCTTCTTCGTAGATGAAACTTGACTTCAAGGAAGAGTGAGAAGGGAGGAATAAGGCTAAGTGTGTCATAAAGAGCCGTTGTAGCTCCAGGTAGGCAGTCTTCTGTTTCACGAGAAGCTTCTAGAACAAAAGTCAAATGCAACTGCAGGCCAACTCCACAAGCAAGGGTGGGCCATTAGTGGCTAATTTTAGGATTCTCTTCCTATTTATTTTTATTTATTTAGTCTTTTGAGTTGAGGCAGGCTGGAGCTACGAGACATCCTGGTCAGCCTAGAACTTGCTAAGTAAGCCAGGCTGGCTTTACACTCCGGACTGTCCTCTGCCTCTGTCCCTGGTGTGCTGGGATTCAAAGGCCTGTGCCATCGCAGGGTGTGAGTGCCTCATACCCTGTCTCCTTAGCGTCTTGATTCTTTCTGGTGGTGTTCTGCCCACTGTCACCTTTGACGCAGTGGCAAGTGAGGGCCCTGTGTGCACGTCGGGTAGCCTGACGGATGCAGCCGCTCTAGATAAGGAGCTCTGTCCAACACCTCATTAGTGATGGGTCGTGAAGCCTGGGTGAGTCCAGCCCAAGAACCCTGGTGTCTGCCAAGCTGAGAAATGTTGCAAAGTTTATTCTCTTGAGGAAATCAAAGACTCGGAAAGAAAGACCCTCTGGTTCCTCTAAGAAAAGGTAAATTGGACCCAGAGAAAGGAAGTAACCTGTCCAGATTTAAACAGGATAAGGAAGCCCTAGGAAGAGGAAAGATTGCTCACTGGTTTTGGGCCTTGCACTGTTACCCATGCACACATCTGTCTGTCCATTTGTCCATCAGTTCCATCCATGCCATGCTGTCTGCACTTCACATCCCACGATCCCTCTCTCTTGACTTTGCAAGTGCTGTGTGTGAAACGTGGGGCTGGCATTTATGATTTCTCCCGTGGGACCCAGCTCTGAGGTTGTAAAGCAAGAGCACATGGTAACCTCGGTGCTGACATGGTCAGAACTAGAACTGTGGTAGAATGTGTCCCCAGAGAGAGTCCCAGCCTTTCTGTAGTGCGGACGGTCACTCTCCAGTGATCGCGGGCCACTGCTTCTCACACATTCCCCGGGATGTGTCCGCATCTCCAGGCCATCCATTTTAATGGTGGGAAGGAAGAGTGACATCAGGTGTTTGTTTTCGGTGAGAAAGCAGAGCCTTTAATGGCTTGTTGACATGCTGATAGATTAAGAAGAGAAGATATGCTAAAATGATGGTGGTGGTGGTATGTGTTGTGGAGGTCAGAAGTCAGCCATCATCCTCTTCTGCTGTCTGCCTTGTTGTTTGAGGCAGGGTCTCTCCTTGATCCTGTAGCTCATCCACTCAGCTTTGTTAACTGGGCAGCAAGCATCAGGAACATGCACGTCTGTGTCCTCCAGCGCTGGGGTCACTGCTGCGTGCATACCGCCTCACACGGATGTTTACATGGGCAGGAGGGACGGGAACGGGAGTCCTCGTATTTGGGCGGCATGCACTTGACTGAGCCATCTCCCCTGCTCTCCGTGCCCCATAGAAGGATTTTTTCACAAAAGGAATTTTAAGAGTTGTTTCCTGTAGCTTCGATATTTCTAGAAACTTAATGGAAAACCCCAGCTTTCAACCCTTGTGTCTATAATTTAGGGAACAACTATGAGAATATGTGTTTCAAGATACATTCTCTACATATATAGTCTGTGCTACAGTTTAGATGTGTGTCTTGGTTTGGCGTGACAGGAGACATTTTACTGAAGCATTTAGGAGAGTGGAGGTCAGACGTCTGATGTACTGGCTCCATCCTGGAGATGGGCCTAGGGCAGGAAACAAATGCCGGCAGTATCCGGGACAGCTTTTGCCCCCCTGTAAAGCTGCCCTGAGCGGTCACTGTTGGAGCTCTGAGATTCAGTAATGAGAGCAAGGTAGAGCCATTCTTGAAACCATCGGGAGGCCAGTCTCACAGATGAGTCTCCTCGATGAAATCACCCTGAGAAGAGGTCAACTGACGGGCCTCTTGGCCAATCAACTGCTTTTTAAAGATGTTGTGGAAGTCATCACGTGACTGTAAGTCTGTGTGCATGCTTGTGTGTGTGTGCATGTATGTGTGCGTGAGTGAGATGTGAGGATGCATGTTTAAGTAGGTGTTGTCACGTGTGCTCCCACATGGAGGCCAGAGGTTGGCATCCTGTGTCTGCTTCCTCGCCCCCCAGCCACCCTTTCGTTTGTCTGAGTCAGGGCCTGTCGCTGAACCCAGAGCCTACCGAGCTTAAAACTCTGGCTAGATTGGCTGATGGTGAGTGTGCAGAATTCCTCTGTCCCCATTCACCAGTGATGGGGTCACAGGCATGCACTGCCAAGGCCAGCTTTTGTACGTGGATGCTGGGAATCCACGTTCAGTTCCTGATACTTGGGCAACACCTTACTCACTGAACTATATTCCCAACCTCGTGAGCATAGTTTTCTCCTTTTATTTTTAAGGGAAATGGCAAAATATCTGACATGCATATGTATGCATACATATATGTTACATAGAATCTTTATATTTGCCCCATATTTCCAGGTGAGAAGGAAAAATGCATGAAAGCCATATGTAAGCTTATGGTGATAAAGTCACGATCACAGAACAGTGGGAGATGAGTGTTTGTGGCTTCTTCTTACGGAGGAAAACAATGCAGGTCTTTTTCAAAACATCCTTTTCTCTTGGTAAGAAGAGCCAGTGATTATAAGGACTGACATTATGCAAGCATCATCATTTGCCCAGGACCATTTAAAGTTCTGCAGGCATATTAATTTGTAAAAATCTGGGAAGAAACAGGTAAGGCGGTTGACGCCAAAGCTAATTAAGAAATGGATCCAAGGTCACC